ACACAAAGCCCACACAATCAAACTCACGTCCAATTTTCGTTAAAACAGACAAAATCCCTATGGAAGTTATGCAAAAACAGACTCTGAAATAAGTAGCAAAAATTACTACCACTATTTGTATGCTGTGTTGGTATCAAGGGGAGAGAAAATGTGACAAGTTAGCTTTGCTGGAAAAAAATTACAACCTTTCTGCAGATCCTGGTTAGTCAAAACAAAACAAAACAAAACAAAAATCGTGGATTCAGGACAGAATGCATAAAAAAAAAAAAGTTCCAGTATTATGTCAAAGAAACCTTAGTAAATGTCAGGTGTATTTCCAGGTCTATTGAGTCCTTTGTAAGAAAGTTTTACTCTCAACAGTTCCATCAATAGGAATCTGTTGAGACCTTTTCTCCCTATATTTCCAGAAACAATTTCTGTAGATGTGAAACAATTGAATTATACATATTACAAGGTGACAATCACACTGACAATTTACATACATACCCGATACTACTGTTAACATATTGGACATACCAAAGTTTTTTACCATTTTCCCAAGTGACAATGCTTCCCTTCCAGTTTTACTTCATTAGGTAAAAGCCAAATAGAACAAATTCATGTAATGCCTTCCCAGAGGAAAAGGAGAAACTTCGTGGAGTGTCTCAGGAGCTCTACTGAGGTTCCACGAAATTTCCTTGCATCAGTCAAATGACAGGCCACCAAATTTGTACTTGAATTTAGATTTCTGGGAAGCTTTGCCATAAATATCAGAAAAGTAACAGAAACAACAATATTCAATCTCTAAGAAGGCACCGGCTTAGTTCAGTAGCATAACGTTGACAATCAAACCATAACTTTTTGTTTTTCTCATAACTGGAGACTCTTTTTTTTCCTTTCCAACGTCTATGGGCACCATGTATATCAATTCGTCGATCACTGGAGGTCAAGACGGTTAGACACAAGGACATACAGACAGACAACATACAGACACAAAGAGCTCTTTAGTTACCATTCATCACGCGTGGGATATCCCGTGCAACTGCAGTTTGTCTGATAGGCCAAAGTAATAATAAAAAAAAAACGAGCAGGGTTAACAAAAAAACTTCAAAGAAAAAAAAAAAAGTTGATAGGAAATAACAAAATCAAGATTAGAAACCTTTGTATGAAAGAAAAAAAATACTGTCAGCATATGCATGATCCTAGATGTCATTTCACATCTCCTAAACTTTGCAAGGAAAGAGATTGGTTAGAGCATGGTAGTTTTTTTCTTCTCAGGGTTTCTTCAGAAAAAAAAACGAGTCCTTGGGTATCCTGCAACAATAACTGGAAAAAGAAGTCAGTAACATTCAAGTTTCTTTCTGTTTCTTAAATAAATATCTCAAGTCTTCAATGGGTTCACAAGACCAATGGGACTTCGTCTCTGGGTCCGTTCCTTCTGGCGCTTAACTCTGGAATGATGTACCCAGGGTTTTATTCCTGCAAGTTTCAGAGAAGTATGTGTGCTTAGCAAAACATCATATGGACCAGTCCATTTTTCTGACAACTGGTTTTGGGCATCCACTCTGCCAGGTCTTCAGTAAGACCTGATCTCCAGGTTTGAAGGGATGCAATGGTTGATCAGGAGGCATAGAGATTCTCGAGGTTGCAAAGTTATGAATTACTGTCAGAACCTCCTGGATGTGTTTCACATATTGTGTGATCCGGCAATCTTGAGCTATTTCCGGACTGGCTTTCAGAACTGAGGCCTGGAAGGGTCTTCCAAACACAATTTCAAAGGGGCTTAATTGTAGCCCACTTCTAGGTGCCACTCTTATGCGGAGGAGGGCAAGGGATAGTACCTGGTCCCAACGAAGCTGTGTTTCTTGGCACAGTTTCGCCAAGTTTTCTTCAAGGTGTGGTTCATCTTTTCTGTTTGCCCGGAAGACTGCGGTCTCCATGCAGCATGCAATTTCCAGTTGATCTGTAACGCACTGCTTACTGCATGAGTAACATCAGAGACAAATGCTGGCCCATTATCACTCTGGATAGAATCCGGCAACCCAAAGCGAGGAATTATCTCCTTTAGCAGCTGTTTTGCGACCTCAGAAGCTTTTTCCGTCTTTGTGGGAAATGCTTCCACCCATCCCGAGAACGTATCCACAAAACCAACAGGTATTTGAAGTTGCCTGTTGTTCTAGGCATTTGTGTAAAGTCCACCTGCCAGTCCTCAAAAGGGCACTTGCCTCGATATTGAACCCCAACGGCTTTGGGGTGGGAGTCAGTCTTGGGGTTATTCCTGGCACATAGTTGACAACCTCGGGTGATCCGTTGTGCTATTCTATGCAAATATGGTCCCTTCAAATATGGGCGCACAGTTTCTAATAAGGCATCTCTCCCATAGTGGGATCCTTCGTGAAGATGTTTTAGCACCGGATATACCGGGGCCTCCGGGAGGAGTATCATCCCATTCATGGAGGGCGGCCTGTATCTGGTCCTGCACACTTTTAAAGGCGGACTCAAAAACGTTACGATTTTCGTCCCTCACACTGCCAATAGCTGAATCAAAAAACTGATTTTGTCGTTGCACTTGATCCTGCATGCTTTGAAAAGCTGACTCAAAAGTCTGATTTTGTCGTTGCACTTGATGCTGCACGCTTTGAAAAGCTAACTCAAAAGTCTGATTTTGTCGTTGAAAAGCTGACTCAAAAGCCTGATTTTGTTGTTTCATCGCTAAGTTAAGAGCTTGAATTTGTTGCAGCACATTCTCAGTATGTGTTCCTGTGCTGAGCCAACATGTTATAGTATACCTACCTTTACTACTACTGTTTATGTAAAAATAGAACTTTACACATTAACTTATTTTGACAAAGATGTTCTTCATTGTCAGACTATTCAGCATTATTTTTAAAATAGAAAAGGCCTTAGCTTTAATTTTCAATTCAAATAAATGATTTGTGTTCCTGTGACAACCATATTCTGATATTTAATCATCAGCAGTTAAATGGGAGGGCAGGGAGTCTTGTTTTACATTTGCTGACTAGAAGAAAAAATTGACGCTGTCTCTCTTGTTTCTTACTGGAAACTCTTTTAGTCTTGTTGCCAAGACATTACTAGAAAGTAATATATTCTTTGATGATGAACTTGAGATAGAAAAAGTTAAGCTTTTAAAATGAAAACTGATTACTTATTTTTTTTTAAAGGAATTTTTTTTTTTAAGATTTATTTATTTATTTATACAAGCACTGGGTACAGTCAGAAGCGCGGGAGGGTGAGAGAATTCACCAGAGCCAGAGGGGAGAGCAGAGCAGGCAGACTGACAAAGTGTTAGGGGGAAAGGATGTCCTAAAGCTAATTCTGTACAGGCTTTGTGGACTCCACCTCCACCCCAGACCAAAGCCAAAGACACTAGGAACTCCAAATCCCATCACCACCAAAGAGAAGGTGGCTGGGATCTGAGGGTGGGGTTAAGCAGCCAGGTTGGTATAAAGCCAGACATGTGGGCTTTGGAGGGCCCCCCATTTTGGCTCTCCGCCAGCTCGCAGCGCCCGGCCAGCTCTGAGAGTGCTTTTTGGGTTTCCAGGTTAGCGGATCGCCCGATATTGAACGGGTTGCCTGGCTGTGGGACCTCACCCGCGCGCTTAAAAGGGACTCATTGATACTCCACTACAGGCATACACAAAAGGTTAATAAAAGGTTTATTTACAAGGGAAAAGGAAAGAAGGAAAATGTACAACTCAGGGAGAAAATAGGGAAATAAAGTCTTTAATGCGTCCTACCTGATCCGCTGACCTGGAAACCCAAAAAGCACTCTCAGAGCTGGCCGGGCTCTGCGAGCTGGTGGGAGCCAAAATGGGGAGCCCTCTAAAGCCCACGTGTCTGGCTTTATACCAACCTGGCTGCTTAACCCCACCCTCAGGTCCCAGCCACCTTCTCTTTGGTGGTGATGGGATTTGGAGTTCCCAGTGTCTTTGGCTTTGGCCTGGGGTGGGGGTGGAGTCCACAAAACCTGTATGGAATTAGCTTTAGGACATCCTTTTCCCCCTAACAGAAGTACACTGCCGAGGGGAGCAGGGGGCGGCAGGAGAGGTCTGTGTACCATGTGGGACCCTCGCCGGTGGACAGGGATCGAACTGGTGCTGCAAAGGCTGCGGGCAGCTTCGCAGCACAGCTCTCAACCGCTGCGGCACCAGGGGAGGCCCTTTACTTCTTATTTTTATTTTATATTCTATATTTCAAAATAGAATATCCTATTATAATTACTTTTTAAATAACCAACTTCATTCTTTACAGAAATAAAGTATAAAACAGAAAGCCCTGTAATCAGTTTGTGGTACGGTAATTAAAGCTTTGAGCACAAAATACTATGAATCATTCTTTGCTAAACACTTAAAAAGATTTTATATCCAAGATAAAGGAATACAGTTCCATTTAGGGTGGGTGAGTGGGATACCATTCTTTTACAAAGTGGATAAAGGCACTTGTGAAATGGAAGGTAGAATAAGAGAATCTATAGGACCTCTGCCTGGGAAATCTGATCCATTGTCAGGCAGATTAGCTTTAGAAAAGGATTGATAAGAGTGGAAATTGAAGAGCTGATAATTGCTATTCAATGTTTATCTATTTCTGTGTACTCCACAGGATGTCTTTTTACCTACAGCAGTACAAACATACAGTAATTTGAAAGTTCAAATGAATAATTGCATATTGTTTTGTGAATTTTTAAATATACCTGTATAGTTTCTTAAATTTGACTAACACTACAGATGATTTACCGCAGAAAAATGTTGAAGATATCTTGTGTTTTCAAATGTATGGCCAAGTTTGTCTCCCTTCAGTTTTTGGGGCGGTTGTAGAAGTGTCTAATAGAACAGCAAAGAATTTGGTACTTTTGTGTTTTATCAATTAAGACATAGACTGTTAGCAGTATAATAGTGCTTTTTTTATAGGGATCAATTGTGTTGATACCACAATGAGATATTGATGCGGCAAATGTACTTTCACATTTATGTGACCAGTGTATTTTTGTTTCTGTGTTATAGGTATTCTCTTAAACCAAATGACCAAATCTTGGCTGAAGACAAGCACAAGGAACTGTAAGTGTATTAAATTCTGTCTGTGGAGCAGATGTATGTGAACATGTGAACAATCTGATTTTTTTTTTTTTTTTTTTTTTTTTTTGTGAAACCTTCACTGGTGGCCGGGGAACGAACCGGTGCCGCAGAGGCTGCGGGCAGCCTCGCAGCCCAGCGCTCAACCACTGCGCCACCAGGGGAGGCCCTCATTTTTTTTTTTTAAGATTTATTTTTATTTATACAAGAGCTGGAGTACAGGTCAGAGTTGTGGGAGGGTGAGAGGATTCACCAGAGACAGAACAGGGAGTAGAACAGGCAGGCAGACCAGAAGCACTGCTGAAGGGAGCAGCGGGCGAGACAGGAGAGTTCTGCCTCACCATGTGGGATTCTCCCTGGCCAGTCGGGAAAAGAACTGGCACTGTGGAGGCTGCAGACAGCTTCACGGCACTGCGCTCATCCTGCTGCACCACCGGAAAGGCCCAACAATCTGATTTTTTAAGTTATATAAAATATCAAGATGTAATTAATGCTATGCCCTTAATCCTCATAGAATTAGGGTAACATACTATATGAGGTTTTAACACAGGAAATAATTGCTTCTAAATGCACATTAGAATATGTAGTATTATATTTTATCACCTAAACTGAAGGCATACTGGGAAATAAGTCATTTTGAAACGGGTAACTACAGGCCCATGAGCCTGCCCTGATATCAGTGCACGTCAACCTGAGCAGGAGGTAGTCTTTTCCCTTTAATGTTTGGAACCGGGATCGTAAATGGACCAGTCAGTTTTGAATCAGTGGACAAATCAGATTCAAGCTCTCCAGCTGTCATTCAAGGGCTTGAACTAATTATGCAGTTTGAAAATGGAAGTCAGCTGATTGGTGCTAACTGGTCTAGTCAGATGCTTAGGTTTGAAAATGGTACAGTCAGGCTTGTAGGTTGGGAACCCTTGAAGAAGATATAAATCAGAGCAGGAACCAACTTGATTCAGTCAGTAGCCAGCCTTCTATGAAACAAGTCAGTCAGCAGCCAGCCCCTGAAGAAAGAAGCATTCAGCAGAATACCTCTGTGGGATTCAGCAGACCTCTGTAGACTTCTAGATCTCTCTCGACCTTCACAGAGACCTGGCATTGCCACTTCTAGCCCTGTCTCTGTCATTGCCTGCAAGGAATACCATCAACCTCAACCTGGTGTCTCAAATTGCTGTTGGCTATTGGTTCACACCAGCAATTCACAAAGAGCTCTAGCATTGGTGTCTCTAACACTGGCCCCCTGGTGACTGGTGCTGATTGATTGGTGATGGGCACTCTGTTTAGCCACCTTTTGGAGCTGTCCGCTACCTCTGGTTCAACCACCTGCTGGTGCTGTTGAGTCTGTTGTGGTACAGTTTAACATTCAGTGCTGTCCAGCCCAGCTTTCAGACTGTTGCTGTGGGCTGCTGCAGTGTCACCTAAGTGACCTTATCTATGAGTACCTCCAGCTGCCACCATGAACTGTACCCTGATTGTACTGCTGACCAGTGTGCCACCAGCTCCAGGCCCTTGTTGAGAGAACAGTGCCACCTGGCATGAGTGGCCTTTGTTTGGCACTACTAGACACTGAACATTATCCGGCATGAGACAGCTGGCCACTTGTGGCCTCAGAAGCCCTTTCCTTTTCCTAGTCTCCTACTGAGTAAACCCAGTTGTTGGATCCTGAACCTGAGTGGTTACTTGCAATTGAGTGTCCATTCAGAGCCCATAGACAATCACCTGTCCCTATCTTTGCCACTATTCCTTAGTACTGTTTCTTGGCACTGTCCTTTGTCCTGTCCTCTATTTGTGCACTATTTTAATTTCATTTTCTTTCCCAAGTAAATGTTAAATTTTCATCTCTGATTTTTGCCTCTTAATCCATTTACTTCTTCACCCTCATGCCTAAAATGAGAAATATTTTGTTTTCTTCTGTTGCCTTATTCGTAAGTAAATGCATAACTATTGTTAGGCATAAGGTAAAACATTTTAAATATAAAGTTTGAAATGTGAATCAATTTTGTCCCCCCCCCTTTTTTTTAAAGATTTATTTATTTTTATACAAGAGCTAGGGTACAGGCCAGAGGTGTGGGAGGGTGAGAGGATTCACCAGAGACATAGCAGGGAGCGAACAGGCAGATGACAGAAATATACTGCTGAAGGGAGCAGCAGGTACGACAGGGGAGGTCTGCCGCACCATGTGGGATTCTTGCCAGCCGGCCGGGATCGAACCTGCACTACCGAGGATGCAGACAGCTTCGCAGCAAGGTGCTCAACCCGCAGCGCCATCGGGGAGGCCCAGTTTTGTCCCTTTTTAAAGTTTTAAAGTTCTTTGAACTGAATTTATCAGATAAAAATACTGTATGGTGTGTGTGATTCTGAGCTATTGTTAAAGTTATTTTTCTGCCTAGAGTGGTATTTAAAAGATTAGTACTGCCTCACAGAAACTGTGAGTTTTTAGTTGAAAATTACAGGTTTGGGAGTTTTCAAAATTCTTTTTTTTTTTTTTTTTTAAAGATTCATTTATTTATTTATACAAGCATTGGGTACAGTCAGAAGCACAGGAGGGTGAGAGAATTCACCAGAGCCAGAGCGGGGAACAGAACAGGCAGACCGATGAAATACACTGCTGAGGGGAGCAGCGGGCATGGCAGGAGAGGTCTGTCACACCATGTGGGACCCTCGCAGGTGGCCGGGGTTCGAACCAGCGCTGCAGAGGCTGCGGGCAGCTTTGCATTCCAGCGCTTAACCACTGCGCCACCAGGGGGAGGCCCAGTTTTTAAAATTCTTTATTCTACCTTTTTAACTTTGTAATATCCTAAAAGGGGAGCTAAAAAAAAATTATGATTCTGTTTTCTAGGTAGTCTAGTTTTTTCTCCCATTGTGCAATGAGAAAATTCTGATAGCCTTAATTATTATGCAGATACCTAATGTCAGTTAATACTGTAGAAGATTCTATCCTATTTATAAATATATTGGTGAATTTTATAAACTTCCTTGGGAGTTTCCCTCCTGTTTGACACTACATAATGTTAAAGAATTTTTGTTTTAACATCTAACTCATTTCCACCATGGTTTAGTTTAATGTGAATTCATTTGTATTCATTTACATGGAGAACAACTTTTTTGAATTAGAATACTTCAAGACTATAATTTTCTTCTCAAGATTATGCAATGGATTTTTTTCCTAAATACTTTTTGAGCTGCTTTAAAAAGATCTCTGTCCTGAACCTTTTCCAAGTTATTTTCTCTCTTCTCTCTTACTGAAGAGATTGCAGTGTTAATTATAAAATGGTAGAACCAATGTACAGAGAGGTTTGCTTAAGAGTTCTTATAACTTATGTATTCTGTTATGTTAACCTTGCAATATTTTTATATTTGTTCTATCCTTATTTGATAATACTCTCCATACTTCTTTCTGCAAATTTATTGTCCAGGTATTTTATGTGTTTTTCTCTCTCTCTTTTTTTTTAAAGATTTATGTATTTATTTATACAAGCACTAAGTACAGTCAGAAGTGCGGGAGGGTGAGAGAATTCACCAGAGTCAGAGTGGGGAGCAGAACAGACAGACTGACGAAATACACTGCTGAGGGGAGCAGCGGGCAGCAGGAGAGGTTTGCGCGCCATGTGGGACCCTTGCCTGGCAGCCAGAGATCGAACTGGGGCTGCAGAGGCTGCGGGCAGCTTTGTAACCCAGCGCTCAACCGCTGCACCACTGGGGAGGCCCGCGTTTGTCTCTTTAAAGTGGTATAGTTAGTGAGGGTAGTTGATTGTCATGCTGGTTGGTTACTTGCTAGTTAAAGTTCTGGTGACAGGGCTCTTGTGGTTTGGGAAAAGAAAGATTAGATAGACCCAGAGGTTCCTTTGGCCCGGGTAAATTATGACCCATAATAAAAATACCAGAAAACTGCTTTTAGAGAATATCTTCATTTTATTTAATATGTAACCCACATTAATATATTTATTTAAATTTTTATTAGCTGCCTATGATATAATTTACCCTCTTGTGTAAACTGATTTTTAGTTTTTATTATGAAAAATTTATTTTTTAGATTTTATTATGACATATATAGTATATATTCATCCACATTCCCACCACCTAGGTTTGATCATTATCATTTTACTTTCTTTATCACCTATTGATTCATTCTTTTAGCTGTGCACTATTTTGCCTGTTTTTTTTTTTTTATGCATTTCAAAGTAAATTGCAGATATTAGTATGTTTCCCCCTAGATTTTTCAATATGCATGCCTTCAGATAAAGGTCAATATTTTAGATTTTTTTTCCTTTACATGTAAAGTTTTCATATGAGTGGATACACAGATCTTAAGTATGTATTTGACAAATGCATAAGTATTTGTCATCCAAATATCAATATTTATCAAGATGAAGACTATTACCACCACCCCAGGAAATTCCTTATGTTTCTTTGTAGTCAGTCTCTGCTCCTACCCTGTCAGGAATAACCATTGCTAGATTTTATAAATCATAGATTGCTTTTCCTGTTCTAGAGTTTCTTATAAATGTAATCACATGTACATCATGTTTTATAAAATACTTTTTTCACTCAGTATAATGTTTTTAAGATTCTTCTGTGTTCTATATATTAATTAATTTCTTTTTATTGCTGATTAACATTCCATTATTTATTCTCTGGTAGAGTATGGATTGTTTCCTTTCCAGTTTTTGATACCATGAATAAAAGTACTATCAATTTTTTTGCACATTCAGAATCTTTATTGAAAGGACTGGCGCAGTAAAGAAAAGGAAAGCCAGGCCAAGTTTCTCATAGGCAGGAACTTTATTGCGTTCCTAGTCGAGGTTTGCCGACCCCTGTGGGGTTTGGAGAAGTCGTGCCCGTTGAGGGAGATGTCCTTTTATAGGGTGAAGAAAGGTTAGGCAGGAAAATGAGTATGTGGAACCGAAGTTGTTTTTTATTTGTTGGCAGTTTCTGGTTGATGGCTATCAGGTCTTGTTTGTGTCTGGTGGAGGCCTCTGGTTCTA